ACAGCGGTGCTACGGTAGTACGAACACCTTGCCCTCGGACCACAGCCTGAGCCTAATCGTCCCGCGCTCTCCACCGGTACTACTCGCGACGAGCTGTGATCATTCACATCGCCCGCGATGTCGGCCACGCCGCGTCCTGGCGGCCAGCTGCCCATGATGCCGCGCGATTTCGGTGCGTGCTCTGACGGAAGCGTTCGAGACAGACGCCGCAATTGCCTCTCATGCTCGCGCACGGTCCTCGAGTCCGCACGTCCGTCTGACCATCGGTATGTAGTCACCGGGTGACACGGTACTCACAACAAGTGAGCAGAGAGTGCTCCCGAATACAACGACTCCTTACGCCCATGTTGCCGTGAGACGCGTCCTTGTGCATATATACTCGCCTGGCCAGACTGTCTGGGAAGCCATCTTCCAAGATTCATGCCGCCAAGCCGCCGCCGAAATGAACGTTGTACTAACACATATTGTAGTCCACGACGCCCGACGACCGCGTAACACTGCCCAAATATTTGTGCACGACGGGGTCCGTGCACGAACAATGGCGACGAGCGGCAGGAACGCCGAACGGGGGCACGGCCGGCGGGGTCGCACCGTCGCGCGAGGGAGCGGGGCTGAGCCAGGGACGGGGGGCGCCTCATGGCTGCCTCGCGCGTGCGGGCACCCCCCGAAGCGAGCCCGCGCGCCATCTAATCTATAAAAACCGGGGGGGGCTGCGTTTTTCTCCCCCTCCACATCCCTGCTCGTCCTCGCCTTCGTCCCCGCCGACCTTCCGCAAGCCGTCGCCGTCGTCCAAGCCGACCTCGTCCAGCCCTACAGCAGACCAGCAAGCAGGTGCACTCCGTAGCGCCCGTTATTGTCCTCTCGCGTACCCTCCATCTTCAAGTCCAGCAAGTCTACCCCCGTCCTCTCCTACCACTATGTCTTCCTACGTTGCTTCTGAGGAGATCGTTGTACGTATCTAATTCTTTACGTTGCCTCAGATTGCGCCTACGCACTGTTGCTGCGCAGGATATGACCGTGACTGACTTGCTTCTCCCAGCCCGGCGACATCGTCGCAGTCACGGCTGCTGGTGGCAGGCGCGAGGGCCTCGTCGTTGGATCCCACCTTGACTATGCCGTACGTCCCCCCGCTTTTGCACATCCCATCTCGGTGCGATTTGGCTGACCCGACTCTTCGTGCGTGCAGGGCAGGCAAGTCGTCGAGGTCCGGCTCGACGGCGGCGAGATCTACAACGCATGGTACGTGCTCTCATTCCAGACAACTCCCCCCCTCTATCCATCGTGCACTCCTCCCCTCCATTTCCATCATATTCCAGAGTCGTCTTCTTGTCACTCTGGTGGGAGAGATCACGGTGGCTGATGACGTCTTCTTCTCCCTTGCGCAGGTACCCGAGCTTGACGCGCGTACGCCGGACGATCGAGTACACCCGCCCCTCGCCCCAGCACAAGCGCACCATCGAGCGCACCATCTACTGGTGATCGCCCCGCGCACTGCATGGATATTCTCTGGCCTTCGACTCGACATGGACACTCTGGACTGAGACTCGCCCGTTTTCGTGCGACCGCTTGCTGTTCCGCTTCGCGCGCATCCCGCACATTCGTGGATGCGGCCGTTTGCGCTCGCGCCCATCGCCCTCCCCCACATACCTAGCCCGTACCCGTGTATAGTTGTGACATACTACTAGGACGGCGCGACGCGCCGGTGTACGCTGGTCCCCCTGGTTGGAATCCCCCGCTTCTGCTTGCAATTGGTTACCCCCGCTGCTATATGTATGTAGATAGATACGCATCCCATCGTTTGTGCCCCTTCCCGCGGCGTGTCGTCTCGTTCTATATCCCTTTCTCGTGCGTTTGAACGATATCTGGCACCCCAGTCTGCTTCCCTGGAACGGAGGACCATGTATGTATATGCACACGAACACACAAAGTTATTCATCCGTCTGCGAACACATACCTCTGGGAACGATGTTCAGACATTCTGTGTCCACACGGACAGGTGAGACAATCAAAGTCTCGTGTATTCTGGCCAAGTTAGATACATATTGCGGGTGGAGGGGGGAGTGTAATGAACAACGGCGGATGTAGTGAATGATGGGTAATATAGTGTGTGGGGGGTGTCGCATAGGATAGACTAAACCAATAAGTGTAGGAGCAGCAGCAAAGCAAAGAGACGGCGACGACGCGGCACGGGGGCCTACGCACGCAGCGAGGTCGGCGGGACCGCCTGCCCAGACGACACGGTAGTGTGCGCATCCGACTGCGTCTGCGAGATTGACCGCCGGCTCTTCCGCAGCCGCCCGGACTTGCTCGACGGGGTCGGCGACAGCGGCGGGCGCTGCGGCGAGATCTGCGGTGCGGCGCCCCCATTCGGAGGCGTGTGCGGGCGCGAGTGCGAGTGCGAGCGGTGGTGGTGCGGGCGGCCGTTCGGCGCCAGGGTCGAAGAGGAGGGTGCGATCGCGGGCTCGCCGTTCGGGGCGGAGGGGTGGTGGCTGTGCTTCGAGTTCGTAGTGGCCGTCGTGCTCGAGCTCTCCGTGCGCGACATGGGGGGCGCGCTGGGCCGCCGGTGCGCGGATGTGCGCCGCACAACGCGCGGGTCGATGACCTTGCCTCTGTCGTCCTCGCGCCGCTCCCTGCTCTCCCTCCGCCGCGCGACGTCGCCGTTCCCGTTCGGCCTGCTGCTGCTCTCCCGCCGCACGAGCTCCGGCCGCCCGTTGGCTGTGGGCACGGGGGCAGGAGTGGGGGCACGGGAAGGGGGCTTGGCGTGCGCCTCCTCCGCCTTCACCTTCACGGTCTCCTCTGAGCCGCGGGGCGAGCCGGTATATGGGGAGGCGCGCGGCTGCAGCACGCGCTCGTAGTAGAGCATGAACGCGCCCGAGCCCTCCTGCAGCACGCGCTCGAGCCCGCACTCCTGCACAGCGTCGTCGCTGATGCGCAGCCAGCCGCGCCCGGGGTGCGTGCCCGATGCGTCCCTCGAGTCGCGCACGGGCCCGTACCGCTCGCAGCGCGCACAGTCGCAGCCTAAAGGGCACGCGAGCTTCGGTGGGGCGAAGCGGCGCTCGCCAGCGGATGGGGGGCGGGGTTTGCGCCGGAAGCAGACGTAGTGCCCGAAGGAGTGCTGGCCGTAGTGGCACACGACGGCGGAGAGGCGGTAGAGCGTGCGGGGGACGGCGTAGGTGGAGGGCGTCGGGGTGACGGAGCGTTGGGTGGGGATGGGTGGTGGCGGAGAGGAGATGGGCGCGGAGGGCTGGGTAGAGAGTTGCCCGGAGGTGGTAAATGGTGTGAGGTCGAGAATTTCGGGGAAGATCACGCGGGTGTTGTTTTTGGTGGCATGGTGGCCGTAGTGTATTGAGCGGTTGAGGTGGAGGGCGAGAACGGGCGGAGGCTAAGTGAAAGGTCGGTCAGCGGATAGGTTCCATCAGTCAAGGGATAAGACACCTACGCGGGCAACCATGGACTGCTTCGTGGACGCTCGGCTGAATACCTTCTCGGTCTTTACGCCTGCGATATCCTCCTCTATCCTACCTTCGTCTATGGCAGCCTTGACTCGAGACATCAGTTTCCTCGTATCGCGTGCACGCTTCTTCTTGGAGGAAGAGGGGTTATTCGACGCTTGCGCAGCTTCGGTTAGCCTCTCCGCCTCCTGCTCTAATCGGCGGTAGGTGGCGAGCATGGAGCACTTTCGACAAATACAATCGCTCAGCAACTCCAGCCGCGTATAGTCTTCGAGGCACGCCTCAAGACGGCACGCACCCTACATATTTAGGACGAATGTCAGAAAATCCCAAGTGAATGATCAAATTCTGCGCACCACCATGCCAGGCAATGCGAGCTGCCAATTGTCAAAGGGAAAGTGCATGACCGCTTCTGTATATCCACACTCCATACAGCTGCGCCGGTTCGCAGTGAGCCCGTCGAACACCGTCTTACTAATATTGCGAGCGGCGAGATCGTCCTGCTTCGTCAATGCGACGCTCAAGCCCCGGTCTCGTCGAATTTCATTGGCCACAGCGAGGGCCTCGTTCTTGATACACTCCGAGAGCAGCTGGAAGAGCTCCTGCGCATCCTGGTGTTCGCGAGAGGAGAAGAGGGAGTTGTTCTTCGAAGGATTGGAGCCGGACAACGCAGTAATGATGTCAATGGGGCGGTGCGGACGTGAGGAAGAGGAGGGCGTGTTTAGGACTGTCATGGGGGATCGTCAGGTTGGGGACACGTGAGCAGGGGGTACGCACTGACCACGGACGAGTTCGCGGAGGGCATCGATGACAGGAGTGGGCACATCCAGGGACTCTGCCCGCGCATGTATCTCATCTAGTCGCGGTTGAAGATATGTCAAAGATGCCATAGCCTGAGGTGTGCCATGAGAGAAGAGTATTGTGGCGAGCAGACGGTGTACGCACCTGCAGAGTCGAGTTCATAAAACAATATGTCCCAGATATATTGACCAGGCCGGGGTAGTAGCCATCTTCACTCGAGCTCTCAGATGCAGTGTCTGAGGATGCCTGTGGTCCAGCGCGCGGCAACGGAGGATCCTGCCGAGAACGCGTACCTTGACTGGAAGTGCGGACGACCTGGTCATCGCGAGTGCTATTCCTTACGTGCCTTCGCTTCAGTCTCTTTCTCTCAGAGTTGCTCAGGGATGAAGAGGCATCAGACCAGTTCCAAGGAAGAAGAGAGGCTAGACTGTCGAAGACCATCGTTCCGGCGAAGGCGATCGAGTGACGGTAGGAGTGTGCGAAGAGGAACAGAGTAGGCACAAAGATGAGAACGACGATGGGAGCAATCTGCTGGAAGGCAGGATTCGAGAGAACGAGGTAGGCGTAGTGTTCGAGATCGCCGTGCAGCAGCATTTAGCTCAGCTCAAGTGGCCTCGAGTGAGCACTGACGACATGGGCCTCCGTAAGTTGCAAGGTCTCTGCAAAGAGCCACCGCTGAGTGGCCGTGGCCGGGAGAACGTGGCTAAAGATTTGGGAGGTGATGCGGCTGTCCCTACACCTCAGCATGGCTACCTGGCGCAATGGTAGCGCGTTTGGCTTCGATCGCCGACGGCTACAACTGTCACTTCGTGTGACCAAAAGGTTGCAGGTTCGAGTCCTGCGGTGGTCATCTTTTTGCGATGCGTATGCTTGGTCCGGGCCGCGTGTCCGAGGTTGGAGTGTGATGCACGCGACGCGTCTGGCGCGTCGGTGGCTGTCGAAGTTCGAACAAGAGGGATTGGCGAAGGGCGCCACCGCGACGTGAGTGACTTTCTTCCCTTCGCGGCATCTGCGAGCCCTTGTAGCCCCGGGCTCGTCTTCTTGGATAAATGGCTGCCACCGCCCTTCTCTCCCAACACTCCTCCAACCCCCTCGAAGTCTCCTCCTCCGATACCCGCAACAGAGCCTACCTCAAGGAGCTTATGGACGTCCAGCACGTCGCGCGTGACTACGCCGCTGAACACCCATCCTCTGACGACCCTCTCAATGGCTACAACGTTCCTGAACTCGAACGCTATCACTCGCACCTCGCTCAGCTCTACCCAGACGCGCCGGCACCTGCATACCACTACGCCGCATCGGCTAGCAATGCCCCAGAAAAGGACGTGGACGTGGACGAGGAGATGCTCAGCGACGGAGGCTCAGGAGACGAAGACATGGAGCAGGAAGAAGAAGAGGCGGAAGAGGAGGAAGAGGAAGAGGACGGGTCGGGAGCGGACACTGACGAGGAGTTGTCCATCTACCTCAAACCACGCGACGAGCAGCTCGAGATCGAAGAGGAGATCGCTGACCTCGAGTCCGCCGTTCCAGAGCTCACAGAGGACTACAAAGTCATCGACCGTCTGGGCACAGGCACCTTCTCCGCCGTATACAAGGCCATCGACCTCAGTTACCACACTAAATGGGACAACACCGAATGGCACGGCCACCACCCACCCACATCCTCCTCATACTACCTTACAGTACCTAATCCACCTGGAAGCAAGGTATACGTCGCCGTCAAGCGCATATACGTGACTAGCGGCCCCGAACGAATACGGAACGAGATCTCGATCATGGAGGACTGCAGAGGCTGCCGGCACGTCTCTCAACTAATTACCGCGTTTCGAAATCGAGACCAGGTCGTAGCCATCATGCCATACCACAAGAACGAAGACTTCAGGGTAAGTGCGTCGAAAAACGCGCATATATGCCCATGAACTCACGCATATATGCAGGACTATTATAAATACCTACCATTAGAAGGCGTGAAGGCGTACTTCCGATGTATGTTTCGTGCGCTACGCGACATTCATTCACGAGGGATCATCCACCGCGATGTGAAGCCCGCGAATTTTCTGTTTGACCCGCGGACGGGCATCGGCACGCTTTGTGACTTTGGCTTAGCATGTGTAAGCAGACTGTATGCCTTCAAGACGAGCTCTAACGCTTTTCTTCCAGCGTGTAGAACGCGGCCCTTCTCTCGGGGCATGTCTACACACAACGCCGACACGTGAATTCCCGCATGGCCGTTTGAAGCCACGGACCGAGTTTGACATCGACCACATTAAACGGATGCAGAAGGAGGGCCGTATACGAAGTGCGGGGCAGTCAGACAAGGTGGGATACCCCGAGAAAGACACCCGGTAGGATATTGTGCACTCCTTGCCCAGGGACGTTCTGCTAGACATCACTCCCGAGCAGACCTCACTCCAAAGCGAACCGTGCCGGCACGAGAGGCTTCCGAGCACCTGAAGTGTTGCTTAAATGCGGCGAACAGACGGGAGGTGCGTTCCAAGAGTTCAAAGCACAACGTATCACGTCCAGAGGTTGAACATCCTACTAGCGATCGACGTGTGGTCCGCGGGCATGATCCTCTTGTTCTTCCTCACGAAGAAGTTTCCTCTATTCCAGTCCAACGACGATACCGAGGCGCTCATGGAGATTGCGGCTATCCTCGGGCGGCGGAGAATGGAGAAGACGGCCACACTGCACAGTACGTTTCTGTTCTACCCGACGGTGTCAACCTAACCTCATTCCTGTGTAGGTCGATTGTTTCAGTCAAACGTGCCATCACTATCCCAAGAGGGCATGTCCTGGGTGGACTTCGTCGAGCGACAGAACCCCGACCTCCGCATCCCCCCAGAGCCCGAAACCTCCTACTACCCCTACACGCTCCCTGAGCACCGCGCGCGCACCCGTCCCCCGCCCTCCTCCTCCACCGGCTACTCCCCCGGGCGCTCCTCCCCATCCTCGCCCTCCTCCGCGTCCTCCGCGCGCGCGCCCTCGCCCACACCCTCCGAGGTCGCCGCCTACGCGGCCGAGATCGACGACGCGCTCGACTTCCTCGAGAAGGCGATGGAGCCCGAGTCGACGCGGCGCATGACGCCCCGCAGCGCGCTCTACCACGCGTTCCTGCGCGAGCCGCGCCCGGACGCGCCGGGGGACGACGAGTTCACCCCGCACCCGTTTGGGGACGGGGTGTGTGGGGCGCTGCATTTTATTGACGAGCAGGAGGATCTGTGTGTGAGGGTGCCGGTGCCCGGGAGGACGGGGCTCGTTGCGAGGAGGGTGCAGGCGGGGGAGGGGATCGCGATTGGGAAGCAGCCGTGTGAGTTCCATAAGGGGATGACGTTTTAGTTGAGTGCGTGGGGGAGGGGAGATGTGTAGCCATAGCGTGTACGGACATAATCATTCGGCATCTGTTTCTGACGGCACACAGTTGTGACTAGTGAGACAGGCAAGGTAAGGCAACTAGCTGACCAAGGATGGATGTTGTAGATCGGGTACGTAAAGTAAGAACATCGGCGTCTGGAATGTGTTCAAAGAAAGAGCGTCACGCTATATCTGCATAGGTAGTACAATGGTCAGTGTTCAGTGTATTCTGGCGGCACCTCGGAAAACGCGATATCGGACCGAGCATCGTCTTGCGGCGATGTTTCCTCCACGACAGGCGGGGGGAAACGTACGCCCGAGTCCGTGTGGAATATCCGAGGAGCAGCAACTGCCTCCTGGGTCCGTGCTCCTTGCTGCGCATTCGGGCCCTTTCCGGGCGGCGCTGCTTGAATACTAGACGAACGAGGAGACGACAACGATGATGGCGTCAATGAGCTGCCTGCCGCGGAAGAAAATACAGCGGGGGCTGTTGGACCTGACGAAGTGGAAAATGTGCTGTCTCGCATAGGGAATACGAGTGGCTGTTTGGCTGATGTCTGCAGCAACGAAGTGGCGGAGGTGATGTTTTCGTATGAGAGACCGGCCGGCATGGAGATGGGACCCAACGGAGGGTATCGCACCCCTCCGCCCGCGTCAGATGAGCCAACGGTTGTAGGAGCGGTCGTGGTGATCGGTGACACCGGGTGGACTGGGATATATTGTTTGGGCTCTATAAACGGATCTAGGAAATTAGCAGACTGGAGAGTGTGTCAGTACAGATTTCGCGCACCTCGCTCCGAGAGGAGATCGACCTCCTTGCTCGAAAGAGGGAGACCCTTGCCCCGCCTGCGACGCTTGACGAAGAGCACGAACGCCGCAAGGGTGGGCAAGACGAGTCCTACAATGCCACCCAAGACACCGCCCACTATGGAACCCACAGCCACCTTTCCCTTGCTCAACCCTGCTGTGACAGACGGAGAGGCGTCTGTGGGCTGGGAGAGATTTTGTGTTTGTGTCGCTGCGTCCGAACTCAGCGGCGTGTACTGGATGTAATCCAGCACCCACGGCCATGTCGTCGCGGGCTTGTCGTCCCCGCGGTCGACGTGCACGAGCAGCGTGTGCTCTCCGGGCTCCAGCTCCGACGATCGGTACCATAGCCACGCATAGCGAAGCACGCCGTCCAGCGGTGGCCCTTGGACCCCCGACGACGAGCCGTCTACGAAGAACGTCGCCTGCAGCAGGGAGACAAGCACGCCCGGCTCGTCCGGGGGGACGAGCACAACGCCATACACGAATATTTGCGTGCCTGTATCGCGGGCGCAGACCCAGCTTGAGCTCGCTTTGCGCAAAAGCGCGAATGCGAAGGGCACGTACCGTTGAATACGAAAGTAGCGGTCGCATTCGTGTACCCTGCAGAGTATGTGTTGTTCATGACGCTGTCCTGCTTGTTGAGATGGCGCCAGAGGCTCTCCGGCTGGTAGACGATGGCCGGGCTCGTGTCATCAAGGGTCACAAGAGGTGCAGAGCTGGTCATAGCTGCCGACCTGCGGGGCGGTCACAGAAGAGAGGTTCGGGGCTGAGAACGGAGGAGTGAATAGAGGGCAATAGGGTAAATCGACGTAGGAAAGGGCCAGATGGGTTAGGCCAGGCGGACACGCTGCAACTGAGACCATCGCAGAGTACGGCGTTATACGGATACCGCGTATAACTCGGACATCTTCAGAAGCCTCGTAGCGGTGTCATCCCAGTGACACAGCCGCATTGCACGGTTCCTTGTCTTGTCGATTGTCAGAAGCTTAAGACCGTCTAGATGCTGGCTTTAGACTCAGTGATCTTAAAGGTTCAGTGCGCAAGTACCACTCATAGTGGGGCTATAGCAAAATCGTGACGGAGGCGTTTCTGACTCTGCTGAAAACTGTAGACTCTGGTGTCAGAGCGATCCCTCTACGCACACACAGACGCACCGTAATATTGAGGCTTGGCGGATTCGTACCGGATCCACCGACGATACGTGTCGGAGGAGTTCGAGACTAAAAGTTACTTACCAAGCTTATACGTACTACTACATAGGCGCTCGCCAGCCTCAAGCACGTAGATCGCTTCATTTCGTCAAGTTGCTTGCAGACAACGATCACTCCAGTAAATTCCTGAAGCACATACTTCAACCTTCAACGAGAGCGATGGCAGGTATAAGGTGTGGCATTAATTCCGTCCGGGGACAAGATATACTATCATACAAACATCGAGTCGAGATCGTAAAAGGGTAACGACGTGGCAGAGGCGTCAGGATGGTATAGTATACTACAACGTGCCATACGTCACCTACTCGAGGCGTAGGCGATAACGAGCACATAAAGGGAGCCTCGCGACGGAGTGTGATCGGGTAAGGGGGATAGTGGAATAGATGGGTAGCTGAGCAGGAATATGGGAGGAAGAGAATCCGCGACCTCAGATGTCGCTCATGCTGTTAAGCAGACCTGCCTGGGCTACGGAGCT